TGTGAGATAAGGATCAGAACATTAACCATCGTGATTTCAGTTTGGTTCTGCCTAGAAGGTGTAGTGTCCCTACCTATATATGAAATAGCACTTTGGAAACCCAGCCATCTATTTTTATCTCTAGGACCACCATTTTTATTTATCTGTTGCTACAGAAATACATGATTAAAGTTTTTTTAAAAATCAGATTGTAGGGGCCAGGGAGATGGCTCAGTGGAATAAGTGCTTCCCTAGCAAGCACAAGGGCCTGAGTTCAATCCCTGGTTCCGGAAAAAAAAAAAAAAAATTAAGATCGTACTGTTACATTACAGATATCCATGATGATCACATGCAATGTTCCTGTACATGATATAACTTGGTTTTTCCCCATTCCCCTAACCTCCCTTAAGCCCTCTTCCCCTCTCCATTCATAAAAGCTTTGTTTCCATGTTTTTCTAATTTATTCTTTACTTTTCCCTTCTTTCCTTTTCTCCTCACCTCTCATTTCCTTTCCCATTTGAACATTTTCTTCCTATTTCACAAAACTTATACATTTTCATCCTTGTTTACACTTTCAGTTTCTCACACCAGAGAAATTATGAGGTGTTTACTTGTATATCTGATTTATTTCACTTGAATATGGACTCAAGGGACATCTATTTTCCTGAGCACATCCTTCTTTATGGCAGAGTAGTACTACATTGGATTAAAAAAATAAAAACCACATCTTTATCCATTCTCCAGTTGATGGACACTTGAGTTGTTTCCAAGATTTGGCCATTACAAACTGTGCCCCTATAAATTATGGGTGTTTATGTATCACTGTGGTATGATGTTTTTAATTCTTTTGGGAAGGTACCCAGGAAGGGAATAGCTGAGTCAAATGGAAACTCTAGCCCTAGCTTTCTGGAGGACTCTCCACATGGATTTCCTCAGTACCAATATACATTCCAAACAACAGTGGAGAAAGGCTCCTTTCTCCCCAACCCCACAACACTGCCAGCATTTGTGCTTTCTGTTGTTATTCTTGTTTTTAAATAGTAGCCATTCTTTCCAGGGTGAGATGGAATCTGTGTTGTTTTAATTTGTGAGATTTTGCACATTTAAGGGATGTTGAACTTTTTTTATTTTTTTGCTGTATTTCATGAGGTGTATATTCATCTCAGATGCCCATTTTGGGGTTGGATCTTTAAATTTGGGAGATCTGATGGGGGAGCTCTTTATATGTTCTCAATAATAATCCTTTGAGGTACAGCTGGTAAACATTTTTTCCACCCTGTGGGTTGCTTCTTCACTCTTCTGGTGGTTTTTGTTTGCTATGCAAAAGCTTTTAATAAGATGAGGTTTCAGTTGGTGATTTCTTTGTGATAGTTTCTGTGTGATCAGTTTTATTCACATCCTGGTGTAAACCAATGTCTTCAAATACTTTCAAATATTCTATCTGTGAGCAGATTTAGTGTTTGTGTTTAACATGACTAAAACTCTTGACACTCCATCGCTTATTTTCTTGTCCTCATTGTGCCATGCTTCTGCCATTCATCACTGAAACTGGGATCTTTTTTTCTTCTTTCAGGATTTTTTTTGGGGGTGGGGCTGGCTCAGGATGCCTTCAGGGCAGGTTTAGTAAGGCCTGAGGATCTGGGGATCGACCTACAGCAACTTGAACCTAACTGCTTTGTTTTAAGCAGTCACTAAACAACTAAGCTAATGGGCAGGCCCCACTTATTTCTTTTATAGAAGTTAAAAACATCATTTACAGCCTAGAGTTTTTTAAGCATGATGGTACATGCATCACTATTTTGATTTCTTCCATTAAGGGGAGTATTTTATGACCTTCACAGGTTTGATTACAGGCAAGTATCTAAAAGATCCATTCTTAGGAGTGACCATACATGCTTGTTGTTCAAGCACACTAGAGGCTGAGGCAGGAGGATCTCAACTTTGAACTCATTGTGGGAAACTTAGTAAGACCCTGTCTTCATCTAAAACAATGGCTTAGAATGTAACTAAGTATAAAGGCCCTGGGTTCAATCCCGAATACCACCAAAATCCAATCCATTATGGTATTCTTTTTTTTTTTTTTTTTTTTTGGTAGGAAAGGTTTATTTAGCTCACAATTACTGGAGGTTTCAGTTCATAGTCAGCTGGGTCCAACAGAGAGCAGCACATAGCAGAAAACAACCTTTCATGGTGGCTGCAAAGAGCAAGAGCACAAGGGAGGGGTAGCAGCAGCTCAAGCAGCTAGTTTCTCTTCCCACCTTACATTGTAATGCAAATTACCTGCCCCAGGGCAGGGGCAGCATCCACACCCTCAGTAATCACAAACTCTAGAAGCACCCCCAAGACTGCATGAGGCTTTGGGGGGACACCTAGACACAAACCATAACATTCCACCCCTGGACCCCCAAAGACTCATGCATATCCCTTTATGCAAAAGCCATTCTAGTCCATCTGTATAATGCCAAAGTCCCAACAGTTTCAGCATTGCTGAAAAGTCCAAGTCCCAAGTCTCCTCCAAGATCCAAGGCAAACTCTTAGCTGTGAGCCCCTGCACAAAAGAAAAGTTAAATACATCCAACATTCAAAGGCACAAGATAAACATTACCATTCCAAAAGGTACACACAGCAGGATACCAAGTTTTGGTACCACCACAAGTCCACAATCCAGGGGACAGACATTAAGTCCTGCAGTTCCATGCAGGACATCCCAAGCAATCTGTGATGAGCTGTGAGCTCCATGTGGCTCCGCCCCTGTGGCACTCATGGTGGTAGCTCTCATGGCTTCTCTCTTAGACTGGCTTTGCTTCCTCCTTGCAGTTTCCCTTAGATGATCCACATTCCTGGCTTTTCCAAACTTCTGTAGTTTCCACTGAATAGGCTTCTCTCTCACAGCTTTACACACTTCCCTCACAGGGGTGCACCGCCTGGCCTCCCAGGCCTTCTTCTGAAAACAAGGTGGAAGCCTTCTGAACCTCAGAGCTCCTGCATTCTGCATGTGCCTAAAACCAGTGCCACTCGGATGACGCCAAGGTCTGCTGCTAGCTGGAGCAGTAGCCAGACTTTTATCTCTCTTGGCCATAGGGGTCGAGTTCCTGGATGGCTGAGCACTCTGACCCTGATTTGGAGAAATAATTTCTCCATGCCACCGCCATTCTGGAACCTGGTGCAGACACTACCGCCGCCATTCTGGAACCTCCATTATGATATACCTATCTCCTTCAATCACTACTTAAATGTTCAGATAGCCACTCAGGGCCTTGGGATGTGTTTCTGTGGATGATGGAGGACATACCCCACTGAGTAGATAGGAAGATAGGGCTTGGATCTGGACCAAAAAATGGAAGAGAGTTGATATAACCTAAATAAAATCAACTTGAATAGCTTCATTTCTCCAACGTTTTCCATAGCTCAGGGTAACCTGACTTTTACTGATAGAGACCATAATCACCTTAGAAAAGTGGATACCCAAATTTTTCAAGGCATGTTTCTCACGAGTATTTAAGACAGATTATATGATTTTAGGATTAACCAGCCTCTCTTAAATAACTCCTACAGTGTTTGGGGACTTCACAAATAATGTACACAAAATTGGCATATCTGCTGATGGTTTGTGGAAATGTGTTGTTAATGCATGTAAATACACTAAATAATCAGGACAAACTCTACGTCATCCAGTAATTTATAAAGTATTTACCTAATAATTTCTAGACACATTCTCAATACATTTACTATAATACCAGTGCTTACATAACAGTTACTTCTATTCATCCTCTAATTGTATAAAATTGCTTACTGTCTCTATCAAAGATAATTTAAGCTGATGGTGTGAGTTCTACCAGCTGGGCAGCTGATAATGCCAGAAGAGCTTTAAATATGTGCTTACTATTCTCACTGTAAAGAGGACAAAGAGGAAAACTACGTGGATGTTTTCCTGTGGTATAGCTTATACTAATCTCAGACAGTCTGTACTCAGGGTAAAATATATACATGGGTTAGGATAGCTTTAAGTCCAAATTCTCTTGTGTTAAAAACACTTAACACCTAAAAAATATTTCTATGTTGATATGTTTGTACCAAAAAGGAAGCAGAGTAGTTTTCACTGTTGATGTCAAAACTGTGGTAATTTTGACAATCTCACCTGCTGTGAAAGAAATCACCAAGGACAAGGCTAGTACAACCCAAAAGATTTATTCATAGTTTCCTTCTCTGAATTTACTTTATTTATTTAAATTTTATTTATTTGTGTGTGTGTGTGTGTGTGTGTGTGTGTGTGGCCAGCTCAGCCCACCAGGGGGCGGGGCTGGCTGGCATGTGGTGCTGGGGGATTGAATCACGGTCCCTGTGCTTTGCTAAGCTTGTTCTAAGTAGGTGCTTTAGACCACTGAGCCATCTCACCAGCCTCTGAATTCACTTTAAAATTCCCATGTTCCCTAACAAAAAAAGATCATTTCCTACATTCTGTCCAGAAATGTGAGATTTTTATTACACCCTTCACAACTTTTCCCAGCATACTTCTCCCATGTAAATTTGACATTCTGCATGGTTACCCTACATTCACCTACAGTTGCTCTCCTTCAAAAGTATTTAAAGCTTTAACATGACATAATAGTCTTTCTCAAGTCATTGTTATCACTTTATGAATTTTCTGATAATCACAGTACCCTTTTTTCCTTAGCGTATAATTCTGTTCTCTTTCAGATGACAGGTGTAAAATGAGGGCTGATTTCAAAAGGCTTCCTCACATCTGTTAGATATGTACTCCTTCTTGGAAGGAGTTTATAAATACAGAATGATGGATATAATCATATGAACTCTCAATACTGACTTTGTCTTATGTTGCAGGAACCATGAACAGCTACTAGTAGCTATTTCATATGTTCCTGGGGATTCTCCAGGATTAGAATATAAGATATAGGCCACATGTTTTCACATTCAACACATTCACATAAGACTGCCTACCAAAAGTCTGAAGGCATCTTTAAAATGTTTTTATTTAAACTGATCCAAACATGTTTGGATTTTTAGAGTGTGATTCTCTGGTGTTCAGATAGAAATGAGTCATAGCTAAGTGAATTTTCATATTCATAGGTGTTCTCTAAGGTATGTATTCTCTGATGTGAGCAAGGTTTGAGCTCCAGCTAAATGATCTGTTGCACACTTTACATACATAGGGCTTTTCTCCAGTGTGAGTTATCTTATGTAGAATGAGAGAAAAGCTTCTATTGAAGGCTTTATCACATTCAGCACATGCATAAAGTTTCTCTCCCATATGAACTTTCATATGTTGAATAAGGGATGCTTGCCAGCTGAACACTTTCCCACACTCATCACATTCATAGAGCTTTTCTCCAGCATGAATTTGCTGATGTTTAAAAAGGAATGAGTGGCAACAGAAAGCTTTCCTACACTCATGACACTCATAAGGGATTTTGGTTGTATGGATACTCTGATGTTGAGTAAGGTGTGAAGAATGTCGAAATGCTTTCCCACACTCAATGCATTCATAGGGCTTCTCCTCAGTATGTGTAATCTGGTGGTGAATGAGTTCTGAACCACTGTTAAAGGCTTTTCCACATTTCCTACAAACATAATGTTTCTTTCCTATGTGAATTCTCTGATGTCAGGTGAGGTATGGCTAAAGGCCTTTCCACACTCTGTACATCCATAAGGTTTTTCCCCAGTGTATGTTCTCTGGTGTTCAATAAGGAAGGAAAGGTAACAGAATCTTTTATTACAGTCTTTAAACTCTTGAGGTTTCTTATTATCTGATGTTTCACAAGGTTTGAGATCTGGCTAAAGGTTTTGCCACATTCCCTACATATGTATGGTTTCTCTCCAGTATGAGTTCTCTGGTGTAATACAAGGGAAAAACGACGACTGAACATTTTTCCACATTCTTGGCACCCATAGTGCCTCTTGACTACAGCCATGCTCATATGCTGAGTGAAAGCTTCTTGATGAGTCTTGCCTGATACCATTTGCCTGATAAAACCTTGATTCCTAGGCAGCATCTCAGTGCCATCCTGAAATTGCCAGTTTCTTTTCAAGCTGGAACACGTGGGATTTTGGCTTACAAGTCTTTCTGTTATTAAATACTGAGATGAATCATCTTCATAAGTGACATTTTTTGGAGAAAAAATGATCTCACCATTTAACACTGAAAGATACAAAACAAAACCAAAAACAACCAGTGCTCTTCTCTCTTTTCTTCCTGAGTTTAGGCTGTCCTTGAACTTACTACATAGCCCAGACTAACCTCAAACTTACAGGAGTATGTACATGCATATGTACGTGTTACTAGGGATTGAATCTAGGGCATCACACTTCCGAGGCAAATCTTCTACCACTGAACTACACCTCAGCACTTTTTACTTTTTATCTTTTTTTTTTTTAAGCTTTTTGTTTGGTTGGTTTTGTTTTTTGCAGTACCAGGGATTGAACTCAGGACCCTGCCACTTGCCAGGCAGGCGCTTATCTCCCCAACCCCTACTCTTTTACATGGTCTCACTTCACTGGCCAAGTTGCACTCAATTTGTGATCCTCCTTCCTCAGCCTCCTCTGTAAAAGGGATTACAGGTATATGCCAGTGTGTTTGGTATAATAATCCCTTCTTAACAACAGAATTTAATTTTTTTTAAAAAATGTAGCAACAGCTTTCTTACCTGCCACTTAGAACAGTTGAATTTGAGCAGTATGTCTAGTAATTAAGATGTGAATAAATAAGGGAAAAAGAGTACATACAAGTAACTAAGGGAAAAGAAATAGATCAGGAAGATAATAATTTTGAAGAACAGGTTGTTAATCTTCCTTGTCTCAATTTAAAGTCTGTTAGTTGCCATAAATTTCTGAAAATGCCAATTTTCATAAAACTTTTACTAAGATGCAAGTATTCAAGTCCCACAAAAACATCAAATTACATTAGCTTACTACTTTTAGAAATAGAGGAAAAAAGAAATAAGGAAGAAAAAAATTTATCTGAAAACAGCTGTCCATCATCCTCACTGTAATCCAACCTTCTGAACATAAGGTTTGTCCATTACATACCTCGAATAGACAAGCATAGGCTTGATTTTTTTCTGAAAGCTGAACTTTAAGAATTTTATCACAGACTTAATTAAACAAATTTTTATAATATAACTTTAATATTGTTCTTAGAAAATAGAAAGTACTTCAGGATAAAAAGCTATGACATATAACTTACAGTATTCACAAATGTTTCAGTAAAATATCATCAATGAAATGATAAGGTAAACATGGCAACATGCTAGTAGTATGGGTAAAGGGGATGAAGATATTCCTTGCTATTATTTTCCATGATTTAAAATTATTTTTCGGGCCGGGGAGATGGCTCAGTAGGATAAGCACTTGACTGACAAATGCAAGGAGCTGAGTTCAATCCCCGGTTCCGCCCAAAAAATAAATAAATAAATAAAATTATTTTTCAATAATACATTTTAAAATTCATTTTTTTTTCTCTGCCAGGTGTGGTGATAAGCATTTGTAATCCCAGCACTAGGGGAGGCTATAGCAGGAGTACTGCAAGTTCAAACCCAGCTGGGCAATTTAAGAACTTAGTGAGACCTTGTAGCTAATTTTTTAAAAAATGCAAAAAGAGGGTTCATTAAAATGGTGCTGAGTTCAATCCCTAGTTCTACTGATTAATAAATTTTTCTCTAAAACACACATTACCTTTTTGTTTCAGAAAAATGCTATGCTTTATTGTCAATGTCTAGTACAACTGCCTTGTAAGCAATGGTGAAAGAAATTCTTGAGAGACATAGAGAATGTACAGATCAGACATTTGGCAGCATTAGAGAATACAAACTTTTGCTTTAATAAATACCATGTAGATCAAGAAAAATTGTTGAGCCAAATGAAAATAAAATTGATTAAATTTAGTGGAATACAGTACTTAGAGGGATATACATATATATAGCGATGAATGCATATACTGATTAGAAAAGAGGACTTAAAATTAACCATCTAGGTTGTGTTCTAGGAAACTAGGAAGAAAAACTAATTAAACCCAAAATAAGAAACAAATAATAAAAAAGAGCAGAAATCAATTAAATTGAAAGTGGGGTAACAGTAGAGAAAAATCAAGAAAATAAAACTGTTTTTCTAATTTTTAAAATTTTTTTTATAAATTTAGGACAGGGTTTTTGGGTCTCACTAGGTAGATCAGACTAATAGTGATTCTCCTGTTTTCAGCATCCCAAATGCTGGGATTATAGGCCTGCATTCCCATGCCCACTCTCAAATGCCATCTCACCACAGACTGGGGAGGAGCACGGCATACCACACCATGCCAGGGATTGAATCGGATCTCGGCCACTGCACTCTGCCAAAGCAGGCACTTCAGTCTGCTGAACTATCTGGCTGGCCCTTAAAACTGATTCTTTAAAAACACCAATATAGGGGCCAGGGAGATGGCTCAGTGGAATAAGCACTTCCCTGGCAAGCACAAGGGCCTCAGTTCAATCCCTGGTTCCGAAAAAAAAAAAAAAAACACCAACTCTCTTGCTACGCTAATTAAAAAAAAATAAAAAGATGTCACAAACCACTGAGTCAGTGAAAGAGGAGATATCAATCCTGATTCCTGGACATTGAAAGGATAATAAAAAAAAAATGCAAAGAGCAACTATGTGCCCATAGATTTGATAACCTAAATGAATAAACCAACTCCTTCAAAGGCATAAACTGGAAAATCAAATATGCCTATATCAAAGAACTAAATCTGTAATTAAAAACAGGTCCAAGTGAGTATACAATTTTCTATTGTCTTTCAGAAGACAGAAGCAGACGGAGAACTTCTGATTCATTTGATGAGGCCACAGTACCCTAATAACAAAACCAAACAAAGATAGTACAAGAAAACTACTGACCAATATATCTTACAAATATAAATGTAAAAGTTCTTTAATAAAATACAGTTAGCCCTCAGTGCCCATTAATTCTATGTCCATGGACTCAACTAAACCATATACTAAAAATATTCAGGAGAAAACTGTACTGAATATGACAGCATTTTTATTATAACTAAGCAACACAGAACAAATATATAGCATTCACATTTTATTAGGTATTAAAATTGATCCAACAATAAAGTACACAGGAGATTTACATAGATTATATGCAAATACCATGACATTTTATTAAAAGCCATATAGATTTTGGTATCTATAGGCATTTCTGGAACCAATCCTCTAGATTCAAAGGGACAACTCTATAAGCAAATCAAACCCAATGATAGATATAAAAAAGAATTAGAACCAAGCAACAAGTGGAGTTTGTCATAGGTTGCAGGGCTGGTTCAGGGAAGCACTTATTCCACTGAGCCATCTCCCCAGCAGGCCTGGTTCAGCATTTGAAAATCAATGTAACCTATCACATTAATAGGCTTTTAAAAAGAAACTTATGACACAATAGAAACAAAAAAATTATTTGCAAAATCTAACACCCATTCATGATTTTAAAAATCTCAGCAAAACAAGAATAAAAAGGAACTTTATCAGCTTAAAAAACATGAAAAACTCTATATAACATAATTAATGGTAAGAAATTTGAATCTTTCCTAAATTTAGCAACTAGGGAAGATCCTAAGATTAGGAATAAAGCAAGTATGTCCTATTCCCACGGCTTTTCAACAAGATACTTAATATGACAAGAAAGGGGAATATAGTTGTGGCCTAATATCCACTGGGACTAAGGATAATAATATCCATGAAGGCACAATCCTTTACATAAAATGTACTATTGTAGAAGACTGTCAAAAGTAGGTTGTTTGTGGACAAGAAGTACTTGGGAACTACACACTTTCTGTTCAATTTTATTCTGAACCTAAATCTATTCCCCCAAAACAGTTTATATTTAAAACATCTCTGGGCATGGAGGTAAAAACTTGTTCATACCAGAGATCAAACTCAGGACCATGAACTTCCAGGCAAGCCCATATACCGATGAGCTATCTCCCCAGCACTATCTCAAATTTTTTTTTTAAAAAAGCGCACTTGTGCTTGGAGAGCCTGTTATTCTGGTCTTCTGAATATGGGCTGCTTGTCATGACATGCCAGTTGCTGCTATGATGTCTCCCGGGTAGGTGGTTGTTCAAGAAGGGGGTGGTGAAGGAAAGCAAGAGAGAGGAAAAGGAAAATTGTGGGACTGTCCTACTTCAAGGTTGTATATGGTGAGATTTTTGGACTTATGTGCAAACATGAGAAGTATATAATTCTTTATGACTATTTTTAAAATATATTCTAACTTTTAAATGTTTTTTATCATATTCTGTAGGGACTTAAAGTTCAACATATCAATACTTGATGAAAAATATGTTCCATATTATGCCTGTTTGATATGCAGACAAATAGTGAGGTTAGGCTTAATAGCCTAAGTTGTTTGATAATAACAATAAGCTTGTCTTCTGGATGGTTAACAACCTAAGTTTACAGACCAACATTTTGGCCCTAGCCTTCCAAGGTCAATTAAGACTCAGGATATATGAGAACTTGTACTGTAACATCATGTAACGTGACAGTGTCCCAAATTTTCTGATCAAGGAGATTATGGGGCCAAAGCGGAAAGTGATCGATGATGTAGAGTGTGCCTAAGGAGAGAAAACATTCTCTCAGGCTTTCACAGAGAGCACATTGGCCAAGCAATGGCCGTGACTCATCCACATGGCTGACACTGACAAAGGTTCTACA